ACACAATATATATATATATATATATATATATATATATATATTATTTTCCTGAAATTTCGGCAGAGTTTCATTTATATTCTTTAGATACCAAGTTATCGACTCAATTATTTCTCAACTTATAACATCAATCACAATATTCATTCCATCATTTGAACTTTCAAAACTTAAGTATATTTCAATATCTTAATCTATTTTCTATAGAACACTATAATAAAAGCTAATAAATTTATAAAATATTTATACAATTAACCATAATTCAACTTAATAATAATAATATTATAAATTACATCATATACAAGATAATAAGTTAAACATTGTAATTCTTAGATGTGGAAATATATTACAACAAAATATTAATCTTCTAATTACATTAATCACATAACAAAATTAATTATCCAAGCATCTACTTTCCATATCAAGGGCGCGATGTACCTAAAAACATAATTGTATTAAACATGACTAAAAATTTGTACATTTCAATAAGTAATTAATTAAAAACTAACTATTTAGATACATTAAAATGATTTTATATCATCGAATAAATTGTTTTATTTTCTTTTTAAAATTTCTACTTTCATAAATTCTCTTCTAGATATAGAGATAAATTTATTAAAATAAAAATACAAAGAGTATCTCCCACAAATCAACATATTCAACTTCAAAGTTTTACAATTAATCTATTTTACATCATGTGATTATCCTATAACTTTGTAAATTAATTTTTCCTAACATGACTATTCAACCAGGCAAAAATTCCAGTAACTAGGAAATAAATTTTTAAGGCTTGCCCATTCATCAGGGTATTATTTCCAGTAACCAGTATTAGAATTTACAATTTATAAAATTACTTCTACAATAAAAAATAAACTAATTAATTATTTCAAGGTGTTGAACACCTACCTGGTGTCCGTGTGCGTGAAGAGGTTCCTTGTTGTTGGTTAGGTCCTATGGCCTCCTCTGTACTAACACAAATTACTATGTTATCTTCATTTATTGGTACCGGTAAAATTTTCAATACCAATTACATATTTATTAAATATGCTTAACACCTTTAATTAAGCTTAACTGAAACATTCATTTATTTATTTACACTCTAATTAATCACCTTAAAATCATTCCCTCTTGATGTTTAACTAAGCTAATCACTCTAATTACTCACTTTAATTCGTAAAATTAACAAGAATTTGTATAGATATATTGCACAAATTCTCCCTTCTCTTGGTTCACACTCTTGGCTAAAAGAGAGAAAAATTAGAGTATTTATAGTCTAGGTTTTATTTCTTTACACATTGGCCCTGATTACTTTTTATTTCTATTTTTATCACTTAATTCTTTTTTTTACTTAATTATACCACAACACCTTACCTTTTATTCAATTATGTCTATTTTCAATACTTGAAATCCTTTTATTTAAGATATTTGATATTTTATTTTATTCAGATTATAATTTATCAGGTTTTCACATTCTCCTCCCTTAAAAATAAGATTTTGTCCTTAAAATTTGAACCTTATACCTGAATCTTGGAATAACTCGGGGTGTTTTTGTCTCATTTAAGATTCTCTTTCCTAAGTCACCTCCTCGATTTGAGAATTCCTCCACAATATCTTGATCATTGGAATCTTTTTATTCCTCAATTCTCACATTGTAGTCTAACACTTTCACCAGCTTCATTTCAAATGTTAAATTCTCATCAATTTCCAAAGGAATTTAAGGCAAGATCCAAGATAGATCTATTTTAACCTTAATTTAGAGACATGAAACACATCATGGATTTTGGCCAAATGAGGAGGTAGAGCTAATCTATAGGCTACAGGCCCGATCCTTTTGGTGACCTCAAAAGGTCTAATGTACCTTGGTGTTAGTTTCCCTTTCATGCCGAATCTTAATACCTGTTTCTATAGGGCTACTTTTAAGAATACTTTATCGCCAATTTCAAACTCTAGGGGTCTTCTCCTATTATTTGCATAACTCTTCTGTCTATCTTGGGTCGCTTTCATTCTATTCTTTATGTTCTTTATCTTTTCAGAGGTAATTTGTACCAGCTCTGGTCCGAATAGTTGATCCCCTACTTCTTCCCAGCACACTAGCATCTGACATCTTTTACCATATAAGACTTCATAGGAAGCCATTCCTATTGTAGCCTAGTAGCTATTGTTGTAAGTGAATTCCACTAGTGGTAGATGATCTTTCTAATTTCCTTTAAACTCCAATATACAGGCTTTTAGTAAATCCTCTAATATTTGGATAATCCTTTCAAATTTGACCATCAGTCTAAGGATGAAAAGCGATGCTTAAATTTAACCTCGTTTCAAGAGCCTGTTGAACACTTGGCCATAATCGGAAGGTAAACATTAGATCTTGATCTGAAACTATTGACACTGGCACACCATGTAGCCTTACCACTTTATTTACTTATAATTTTGCTAATTTCTCTATTGAGTCTGTCATTTTTATTGTCAAAAAAAGTGTGGATTTAGTCAATCAGTCCATAATAACCCAAATAACATCGTTTTCCTTTTTCTTTCTAGGTAAGCTAGATACAAAGTCCATTGCGATATTTTCCCACTTCCACGTAAAAATCAATAATGGTTATTAAAGTCCAACTGGTTTTTGGTGTTCCACCTTTACTTGCTGGCACACTCCATACTTAGCCACATATTCAGCCACTTCTTTCTTCATATTTGGCCATCAATAAAATTATTTTAAATCTTGATACATTTTAGTACTTCCAAGGTGTGTTGCAAGTCTTGACTCATAAGCCTCTTGTAAAACTTTCCTTTTTAGTGTTTGATCACCTGGTAAGTACATTCATCTTCCAAGGACTACCATTTCATCTTTCTGGATTTGGAACAATATCTCGATTCCTGAATTCACCATTTCCCTTATCTTACAAACTTCCAAATCTTCTTGTTGAGCTTTTATTACTCTGTTTTGGAGGGTTGACCTCACTCTTAACTGAGTCACTAATGACTTATTCGGTCCTGTCTCTATCTAGGCATCAATCTTTCTTAACTCTAGCAATTCATTTTTACCCCAATTCTCCCACTAAGCATTTGTTGTTTTAACCTTACAATTAAAAGCATCTGCAACTACATTTGCTCTTCTTAGATGGTAATCAATTATACAATTATAGTCCTTTATCAATTCCACCCAGCGTCTTTACTGTATATTTAATTCCTTTTACGTCATAAAATACCTCAAACTCTTATGATCCGTGAATATCTGAACCTAAGATCCATATAAATAATGCCTCCAAACTTTTAAGGAAAACACTACAACTGCTAATTCTAAATCATGCACTAGGTAATTGATCTTGTGAGCATTTAATTGTCTTGAGGCATACATAATTACTTTATCATGTTGTATCAACACATACCCTAATCCCTTCTTCGATGCATCACTATAAACCACCAATCCTTCTGTTCTTGATGGAAGTGTTAACACTAGTGCAGTAGTGAGTTTCTTTTTCAATTCTTGAAAACTTTCTTCACATTTCTTGGTCCACTCCCACTTTGCTCTTACTGAGTCAACCGAGTCATGGGAATGGCTATTGTAGAAAATCCCTTGATAAATCTTTGATAGTACCCTACTAACCCAAGAAAACTATGAATTTCAGTAATATTGGTAGGTCTTTCCCATTTCAACATTGCTTCAACTTTTCTAGGATCCACCGATATTCCTTCAGTCGATATAATATGTCATAGAAAAATCACTTTCTTTAACCAAAACTCGCACTTACTAAGTTTGGCATATAGTTGATGCTCTCTTAAGATCATCAATACTTGCCTCAAATGTTGTTCATGCTTCAAGTATGACTTTAAATAAACTAGGATGTCATCTATGAATACCACCACAAACTTGTCTAGGTATGGTTGAAAGACCTTGTTTAGTAAGTCTATAAACACTGCTGGTGTATTTGTTAGCGTAAATGGCATTACTAAGAACTCATAATGTCAATATCGAGTTCTAAATGCAATTTTTGCTACATCCAATTCTTTAATCCTTAACTGGTAGTATCCTGACCTCAGATCTATCTTCGAAAACACTCTAGCCTATTTTAGCTGATCGAACAAATCATCTATCCATAGAAGTGGATATTTATTCTTTATTGTTATCTTGTTTAACTATCTGTAATCTATACAAAGTCAGAGGGTCCCATCCTTTTTCTTTATAAACAACATAAGAGCTCCCCAAGGTGAATTACTCGGACGTATGAACCCTTTATTTAATAATTCTTGTAGTTGAATCTTCAGTTCTGCAAACTTAGCTGGCACCATCCTATACGGTGATTGGGCTATCGGAGATGTACCAGACAGTACATCAATAGTGACCTCTACTTCTCTCTCTGGGGTACTTCCGATAGTTCATCTGAAAATACATTAGAAAATTTCCTCACTATTGGAATATTTGACACTTGAACATCTTGTGCTATATAAGCTTTAGATCCCTTTTTAATCATTTTCCTAGTGATCATAGTTGAGATAATACAGTTTAAGGCCCTTGAAGAGTTATTATTTTTGTGAAACAGTCCATTTAAGCCTTATTCGCACTTAGCCAGTCCATTCCTAGGATAACATCAAAGTCATGTAATTCTAGTGGTAATAGATCTACTTTTAACTCACATCCACTTACATTAATCTGGACCCCCTTATACATATGATCAATACTCACAATAAACCTATTTTCTACCTTGCAAGGATTTTTTCCTAATTCCCCTCAAGTTTATTTGCAACAAATAAGTGCGTGGCACCTGGATCAAACAATACATGAACAGATAAAGAATATAACTGTAGTGTACATGTCACTACATCAGAAGCGGTCCTAGTCTCCTCTTGTTAAGATGACAATTGCCCACATGAGTGGCAAATAAGGTGATTGTTAAGATTGTTGCTATTAATGTGCAACAATAATAAAAGAAGCATTTGCAGCCTACTCTAAAAAAAAGGGATGTCATTGTCAAAAGACTATAATGGTAGGTAGGTATTATCAAACAAGTTGCACTAACAATTGACAAAATGGTGCACTCATGTGCTGCTGCTACCATTAATGCCAAAATTTATGGCTAAATTCTCTTACCATTCATGCCTATAAATAGAGGTATAAGTTAGAGAGCAAAATGAGAGAGAGAGAGAGAGAGAGAGAGAAGAAAGGAAGAGAGAAAAGAATAGCTGTTGAGGGTAGCAACCTTGCTGCTTTGTGCAGTAATGTGTGAGCAATGAGAGTTGAGAGAGGAAGTGATCCTCTTCCTCCATATGTGTTGTAACCCTTTTTCGATCTATCTCTAATAATATGGACTCTTCACGTGGATGTAGGTGGTTTACTGAATCACGTTAAATATTATGTCAGTGTACTTAGCCTTCAATAGACATATATCATAACATCACTGGTTCAAATTCCTTATAATATAAAACATTACCCCCCGGGCGAAAGAAAAAAAAGTCTGACTTACATGTGTGTGTGTGTTGCTAGGATGGCAACAACAATGTCATCCCAAGTACACAACTGTTACTTTCTAATTGCACAATCCATAACTAGTAACCACCACATTATATATATATATAATAAGAAAGAAATGGAATTCTTTGTTAGACCAAACAACCCATTACATGTTTGTTATAAGCAATTGTTCAATGGATTATAATAGCGAAATATAGAATATAAAGCCATTGAACTAGTAAGATATGGAATCTATATTAATAAGATTAAAAAAAAACACTCACAAATTTGAGGTAGAAAAATTGTACCCATTTATGAGTCTTTGATATCAGCAATATTGTAATAGCCTGACTCAATCTGTCATATATTGTCCGCTTTGGGCCTTACCGCCCTCAAGGTTTATTCCTAGTGACGCGAGCCTACGTCTAAGCATGATGCTCCAAAACATGTATGACAAGTTGGCAACCAGTGCTCTTAACAAGGTCAGCTACCACTCCCTCACTTGTCGATATAGGATATTACAATCCACCCCTTTAAGGAGCCTTACAACTCTATTGGCACAACTAGACAACTAATAAGATCAGCTCTGATACCAAACGTAACAATCCAGACCAACCTACCATATATTGTCTGCTTTGGGCCTTATCGCCGTCACAGTTTTGTTCCTGTTGATGTGAGCTCACATCTAAACTTGATGCCTCAAAACGCGTATGATAAGTTGGTAACCAACGCTCTTAATAAGGCCAGCTATCACTCCCTCACCTGCTGACGTGGGATATTACAAAAGTAATCATCTTTCTCCATGTATGTTGTAACCTCTTCTCAATCTATCTCTAATAATATTAGCTCTTCTCCCGTGGATGTAGGCGGTTTGCCGAACCACGTTAAAATTTTGTATGCCAGCATGCTAAGCCTCCAATGAGCAATTATCGGAACATCACCAGTTGAAATTCCCTACATACATGAATTTGATACTCTAGTGAAATAAGCGAAGAGAGGAGCTGTTGTTGGAATATACATTACTTGGATCTCTTCAGTGTTGTGTTTTATAAATAAAATAGTTAGAGGATGAAATTGAAATAAAAATTTAATTTCATAAATTATTTTAAAGAAAATAAATAACAATTAAAATAATAAAGATCAAAGATGGTGAAATTAAAACAATTATAAATTATTTTAAATAAAATAAATAGAAATTAAAATAATATGAATTAAACTTGATAGAAATTCTCAATTAAAAAAAAAAGAAAAATAAATAGTAATAAAAGCTTAGAATGGGAAAAAGAAGGAAGGAATGCTGGCATTTAATAAGCTGTTGAAGGGAGGAAACTAGTAACCAGACCACCGCCTAACAGTTTTATAGCAGGCCAGGATGAGACCAAATTATAACGGTGTCTGGAAAAACAAAAGGCCCAGGACCAGTCCAGTGGCTCTCCCTCTCTCTCTCTCAATTCGTTTTGTTTAACCTTACATAAAAGTTAAGAAGAAAAAGCAGTTTAAAGCGTGTTAAGGTTTAGCAAATTCTCTGAGGACTTGGAAATATTTCGTTTGGTGGGTCAAACTACGGAATCATTCATAATAGCAGCAGCAATAGCTAACGCGTTTATATTATTGACTTGCCTGTGGATCCATAATTTCCAAGCCCCCCCCCCCTCCCCATTGTTAAATCAATTCAAGACAATGACAGTTTAAGACCAAAACCCACGCCCACGACTGCTATGCCTGTCATCCACTCCCCTTCCCTGCTTTCCATGTTCTCGGAATCACGATCTCCATAGTCAAAACCAAAACCAAAGAAAAAAATTATCTTCCTGCTGAAACTAATTCTTTCCACCCGGATCCAATCAACATCCTCCACCCCCTTGTTAACTATATATTTATTATTCAATCACAGAACTGATTAATTAGTGAATTAACAGATCTTGAGTTGCTTGATCCATCCATCCCTCACCTGAGCTCCTGTTCCATGGACTTTCTTATACTGTATCTGTATGTGGTGCTGCTGCTCTCACCAGCACTAGTACAAGGGCAACAAACCTATTTAGCCAACCACCAACTGGACTGCTACAACAATGCCTTCAATGAAACGACCAAGGGATTTCTGTGCAACGGAGTTCAATCATCATGCCAATCCTACCTCACCTTCCGATCTATGCCTCCCTACAATTCTCCTGTCCTTATTGCCTATCTCTTAGGCGTCCCACAATCCGCCACTCTCATCGCCTCCATAAATAACCTCTCCTCTGACACTGCCGCTATTCCCACCAACTCCCAGGTCGTGGTTCCAGTCAACTGCTCCTGTTATGCCCGTCAATATTACCAGCACAATTCCACCTATCTGCTCAAGGACAAATCCGAAACCTACTTCAGCGTGGCCAACAACACCTACCAAGGCCTCACCACATGCCAGTCCTTGATGTCTCAGAATCCATACGGCGATCGGAATCTGTCAGTCGGTCTCAATCTCCAAATACCCCTGAGGTGTGCTTGCCCAACTTCCAACCAGAATGCTTCAGGGATCAACTACTTGCTCACCTACATGGTCACTTGGGGCGATTCGGTCTCTTCCATTGCCCAGCTGTTTGGCGTTGACGAGCAGAGGGTACTTGATGCAAACAAGCTGTCTTCCTCCAATATCATTTTCCCCTTCACTCCGATTCTGGTTCCTCTGCCCACTGAGCCCACCAAAATTGAACAACCATTGCAAACAAGCTGTCTTCCTCCAATATCATTTTCCCCTTCACTCCGATTCTGGTTCCTCTGCCCACTGAGCCCACCAAAATTGAACAGCCATTGCCCCCCCCCCCCCCTGCCGCACCATCTCCGCAGACTCCCAATGTTTCCGTTGGGGGCTCTTCCGATCACAAAGCCTTGTATGTGGGTGTTGGGATAGGAGCTGCTTTCCTCATTCTTCTACTTGCTGCGTTTGGATTTCTGTTTTGGCACCGCAAATCTCGTAAGCAACAGAAGCCTGTCTCCGCGTCAGAACCCGAAACGCTGCCATCAGTCTCTACTGATTTCACTGTACTTCCAGTCTCCAACAACAAATCTTGGTCTCTCTCTTCTCATGACGCCCGATATGCTATTGAGTCCTTGACTGTCTACAAATACCAGGACTTACAAGTGGCCACCGGGTACTTCGCCGAAGCTAATCTGATCAAGGGCTCGGTTTATAGGGGATCTTTCAAGGGTGACACAGCCGCAGTCAAGGTCGTGAAAGGAGATGTCTCCAGTGAGATCAACATTTTGAAGATGATCAATCACTCCAACGTCATCAGGCTCTCTGGTTTCTGCTTACATGAAGGCAACACTTACCTTGTTTATGAGCACGCCGACAATGGCTCTCTCACTGATTGGCTTCACTCTAACAACATGTACCGAATTCTTGCTTGGAAGCAGAGAGTTCGGATTGCCTACGATGTGGCTGATGCCCTCAATTACCTTCACAACTACACCAACCCGTCCTATATCCATAAGAACTTGAAGACCAGCAACATTCTTTTGGATGCCAACTTGAGAGCCAAGGTTGCTAATTTCGGCTTGGCAAGAACACTGGAAAATGACCAAGATGGTGGACTGCAACTGACAAGACATGTGGTAGGCACTCAAGGTTATTTGGCCCCCGAGTACATCGAGAATGGAGTTATCACCCCGAAATTAGATGTTTTTGCTTTCGGGGTTGTGATGTTGGAGCTCTTATCTGGGAAGGATGCAGCTGCTACAGCTACTGACAAGAGTGCAGGAGACGACTTGCTCTCTGTAATGATAATGCGTGTGCTTGAGGGGGACAATGTGAGAGAGAAACTCTCTGCCTTCTTGGACCCTTGCCTAAGAGACGAGTACCCCTTGGATCTAGCTTTCTCAATGGCCCAACTGGCTAAAAGCTGTGTCGAGCATGATCTCAATACACGACCTTCAATGTCTCAAGTTTTCATGATGTTGTCCAAGATCCTTTCGTCTTCGTTGGACTGGGATCCATCCGATGAGCTCAATGGATCTAGGTCTATAGACAGTGGCAGGTAGATAAATAATAGCACGTTTCAATTCACATCAGTATTAAGAACATGAAATAGCAGGTAGATAGAGCACAAGGCTACTTCTCACATATCAGTGAAGCCATTACGTTTTCTCTGACATGCCAATGTTGTTGGCATTAGCTATTACATTTTATCAGACATGCAACTGGACACCTGAAATGTACTTTCTTAACACAACTTGTTCCCAAGAGTGTCATTGTCACTGTCTTCTTATTCTACTTGATTTCTCGAGCTTACAACCCGTGTACAGTTTTCCTAAGGATACCAGTTACCAACATCTACTCCTGCCAGTTATGCTTTTGGCCATGAATAAGGGAATTCCAGGTTTTAAAGGAACATAGTATAATAACACGTTGCAGTTGTTAGTTAACATAATTTACAACCGTGCAATGGCTCCTCTTGAGCTTCTCCATTGAGTAAAACCCAACCTTGAGGTTCTAGCATGCTGTAAGTACATTACAATCGTTAGGTTTTTTAACCAGTAGGATACAACATGATACTATAATTTACAGACTATTCGACTAATGCTGGTAAATCATATATTTATATATATATAAAAAAAAAAAAAAAAAAAAAAAAAAAAAAAAAAAAAAAAAAAAAAAAAAAAAAAAAACCCGGAGGGTGAAGCAAGTTCTAGTAAGCAATACAATACAGGATTTTGCCTCTGCACCATCATTTCCAAACTAGCATCTTTGAGCATGGAACACATTCCTTAAGCTTATGCAAAATTTTCCAATATCTCAAAGAAGAAGGATTGGCATGGATTGCCTGTAGAACCCATTTAAGTTGGCTTTGACAGAATTCCACCCTGGATGGAGATTTAAACCCAGCTTCTGAATGTCTTGCAAGCAAATGCATTTGAACGAAGAGTTCCGCAGGTCTCATTTCTGTACAAACGTGAACCATATGAAAAAGGCCACTAGTGTATTTGTCAAACACCACTAATGATTAATTAATCAGAGCTCAGAAATAAAATGCATCTACCACCAGATATGCAGCCAGTGACCAGATCAATCTACCTGGGCCTTCTGATCCTTTTTTTTTTGGCGGGCACGAGTATATTCAAAATCTTGAATGCTATGCATGTCATTGTTTAAACAAATTTCTTATCTAGAATGGTTAAACCACATTGATATGATGGATGGAGATTCCAAAATGCTGATTGTACCATTGTAAAACTGCAAAATCAAAGCTAAAATGCCTTCAAATTTACATCAAAAGACAAATCATTTGAAGCGGTCACATGATGCTTTATTTAAGAAGAGATGCAAACTAAAAGCTAAAGACTACCTCCCCCTATATACACAACAGCCAACCGGGTCTATTTTCATCTGCACTTTCGGCCCTCTACCCATCATATAGCCCATCAATAATGCATTTCCATACGTTTTTTCTTGGCCTTTTATGTCATCGTAACCAACAGTTCTTGATTTGACATTAAAAGATTTTGCCTGCGCATCTTCAAGATTGATATAGCTAGCAGTTCTTGACAAAACCATCAAGTAAAAACGTCTGGCTTGTGGAATTCTAGTACCACAGCACCACTAATAGCAGCGCAATTTGATGCAAAATGAACTTGCAAGAAAATCCGCATTTCAGAATAATGTAAATAATAAAAAAGATCTCCGGTATCTTAAACTGTTCACACCTGGTGGCCAAGAATACCATTCAAGGTGGAGTTTCTTCTCCCCGTAAAAAGATCTCCCTTCTGCTTGTACTAACAATAACAATACAGCAGGCAAGGGAATGACGGAATTTGCATGAGCACTGGTGAGGCTCCTTAAGGCAAGAGATAAGTATCAGAGCTACAAAAACTGTCTGGGAGGCAAGTTCCATCCATGCGACACCTGAAATCATTAATGATTCAAATACATTGAAAAAATTAAAAGAAAATAACCAAGCAGTTTTTAATCATTAAGGTAAATTTCTTGGATAACTTCAAAAGTTTGTTATAACTACACTAGGCACCCCTATCAAAGTCTTTTTAAAATAAACAAATTACTCAGGACATCCTCCAACTTTTAACGTTGTAGTAGATTCACAAAACCTTTCCAACCTCATTAGATAGTTTAGTACTACTTGTTTCTATACAACATTCTTAATATCTGCTCATTATTTTGTTCAAGGGGGGAAAAAGAGATAATTTGTAGAGATGCAAATACAGCTGGGACAGTGTTCCTCGGATGAGATCAGACCATTATTCTCCCTTCTGCTAGTTCTCCATGGATCACATACCGAAAGGATGTACTCTTTGGCAACCATTGGATGCATTCGTTAACCTTTCCCCTCATGCATTTTCTCATAGCCTTCAGTTGCAATTCTGTCAGACACTCACTTATCAACTCAATCACAATCATCCCTCTCGTATCTATTGACAGTAGAAAAATCTTTGACTCCTTGTGCACGTTAACCTTGGATTGAATGAACTCTTCTTTGGAACGCTTTAATTCCTGAAAGATATTCTTTTCCGTGTAAACTCGAAACTTATTTTGAAACCAGTTGTAAGTTCACTTTATACAAGACTGAACGCATTCAACATATATAATTAATGGAGTCAAGGAATTTTAAAGAATTTGAAGAGGAATGTTCATCCTGCTGTGTCAGAATAAGTGCAAAATGAACGAGAAGCTCTGGGTATTCCAAGGCATAGACATGTCTGATGCTCCGCGTCTCAGATCTCCTTCCTGCAGAAAAAATTCCCTTTAGCCACTGCATTCACGAGGGTTAAGAAAGGAAAATAACGCATGAAAATATTTCAAAGAACATAACTGCTTATTTGAAAGTAGAATAACTCTACGAATAGATTTGCTCTATTTCTTGTATACAATGACTCGGCTCATTATTAAGGCGGCGTGAAAGTAATGTGTAATAGGATTAACAGATTATACGCTCAATACACCTCTTTTATAGTCTTAGATTTAAATTTTAACTAACGTTATCAACCTAACCACAATAGACAGTAGCTGAACAGAAAATAGAAAAAAAGACATCATGATACAGTGCAACTTGCCCTCCACAGAATATTATTATCACGAACCGATTTCATCATGATACAGTGCAACTTGCCCTCCACTTCAGCCTATCATTGAGAATATTATTATCACGAACCGATTCCTAGATTTATGACCAGCACATAAGCAAGGTTTTTCTTTAAGGTTCCATACCTATATGAATTTAAATTTACATACAAACTTCTCCTAACTCAATCAGAGTTCAACACAGCAGTAACAACATAACTAACTTTATAATATAATTTGATTGTCTTAATACAAGAGTTAATATAAATTTCATAGTTTTAGAGCACTAACTAGACATAAAAGAAAGGTACAAAGTACAACCAAAGAGTAGGTTTTGAAGGTCCAACAAAATAACCTACTATCAAGTTATAAGCCTGAAAAGGATAAATAATGAGATGGTGAGTTCAACAACTCAGTGAGTAGATAACGTTCAATACACACACACACACGAGGTAATACTACAATGAGAAATATATATATATATATATATGGTTCTAGGTTCTTATAGAAAGGTTTCTCAAATAGCTATAACAAGAATATCATATGGTAAAACTCATTAGAAAATCAAAATGTAATGAGCATGAGGCTCCATACTGTTGAATGATCAATCCACACAGGTTGGTGACTCTCTCAGATACGATATGCACAAAGGCTAACACTACCCTGTTAGAATAGGTATTCTAACTAACATACCACAAACTTATAATCATAATCAAACAGACATATTCATATCTTAAGACTCAACTCATGACATCAATCAAATAAGGAGCTATCGATTCAGAAGTCAATTCAAAATATATACTAGTTCATATCAAGAATTTAGATTCAACAATTGATCATGTTTTATCATAATAAGGATAATAATCAACATATATATATTATCAATAAGCATGATCCAATTCATGTTAACAAATCAAATATTTATAATATTTCTCATGCATATGAAAAATTATCCACTCGCTGACTCGAAAACAAATAGAACTCAAAAGCAAACATTGAAGAAAATCCTATTAATGTCCCGCCGATGGAATATTAGGATTATCTGAATATAAAAAAGATATATTCAAGAATGACTTGAAAGAAAATTTAACTTATTTAATACACTTAACTGAGGGTGTATTCTGTAACCCTATATATTTTTTAACTAACTAGTCAATTTTCTCAAAAACTCAAAATTTAACGGTTTTCTCGAAATCTAATTCATAATAAAAAAATAAAAAAATTGATAATAATTCAATAAATAACCTTCAATTATTCATCAAACCAATTTGAAAAAGCTAATATTACAACTAGGAATTAATCTAGAATTTATCATATTTGTAAGGGTCAAATTGTAATTTTTGTCTAATTAAAGGACCAAACTAAACATATCATAAATTCATGAATATAGTGGAATTATATCCATAATTCATCCTCATTTCTTTCCAGAACCTCTAATTGTGCTCCAGGGACCATTCTAGAATTTTTTTAAATTTTTAGGGTCAAATTGTAATTTTTGTCAAATGGAGGACCAAACTAAAATTGTCATAAATCCATGACTATACTGAAATTCTGACCATAATTAATGCTCAGTTATGTCCAAAATATCTCATTATGCTCCAGGGACCATTTTGGAATTTTACTAAAAATTTTAGGGTCAAATAGTAATTTTTGTCAAATTAGGGGACCAAATTGAAAGTTTTAAAATTTCATAACTATACAGTAATTATGCCCGTAATTCATATGTTATTCTGTTTAGAATCTCAGAATATGGTCCAGGGACCAATCTGTAATTTTCAAAAGTTTGGGGAGTAAATTGTATTTTTCATAAATTGAGGGGACCAAACTGAAATTTTATCATCTTCAACCTCCAACCCAGATTTTCAACAGAAAACCTACTGTTCTTTCCAAATTTCTAACTCAAAATTCACTATTTATATCATTCATAACTCAAAATCATCACAATCTTTCATAATCAACTAAATAATCAATTACCCATAATAATTAATCTTATAACATTCAATTTAATTCATCAATCAAACTCAAAACACAATCTTCAAATCCCTAACATTCATAAAAACCAAAATTAACTTTCAATTAATATACATTTATACATTTAACAACCTAAATCTTACCTTTAAACTTATTTCTTCCATTCCTTTCTATTTCCCTTCTAATTTCCCTCTTTTCTCTTCTTCTTCTTCTCTTTTTCTTCTCTT